CCCTCTTTCTTTCTCCTGAAACGTTCTTAGACTTATGAGCCACCATGCAGCAAGGATGAGACAAGTATATTTATTATAAAGTTAATGTCATGCCCTTGCAAGGCACTGGGCTGCCATCTCCAGGGAACTGAATCTTCTATTAACCTCCAGAACAGGTGGCTGGAGGATGAACTTCCCCCGTCATGGGAATCAGTAATGAAATTTGGGCTTCAGCCCGCAAGCCCTGATTTAGTCACTCTCCCCAGAAAACTTGGAAACTTCTTAGAATCTGGCCCAAATTTTGGGGATTAATCCCCAAACTGAGCAAGGTCTACCTGGATGGATATGAGAGTCACCCAGTTCTGGTACTGCAGATCTGTACACGCAACTACTGTTTTACAATATAGCATTGGTATAAAAAGACTGCAGCTCCTGTTAAAATAATAGAGAGTTGCACCTATTGATACATGGATTAACTTGGTCCACCATAGCTTGTAAGCAGCAAAAAAAATGGCAAAATTCCTGATGCTTTTCATTGCCCATCTCCATCCCCCATTGCCAGTGCTAGGCACTGTACAAACAGATAGTCCCTGTCCCCCAGAGATTACAATATAAGTATAAGACATGAGACAACAGATGGATATAGACAGATGGGGAAGCACATGGAAAAGTCACTTCCTTTGGTTAAATGGCTGCAAATTTGTTATGTAACTGTCAAGGGGTTTGGTATTCGTTTGTGACATCCACCCTCGGGATGTTATGTGGCCCAACAACCATTTGCTGAAGAAATGTGCAAATGACTTTGTATAAATCTGGTTATTTTGTGATTATCCAGCTACTGGAGATGGGGAGCTCAGATCCATTCATTCACTTATTTGTTGTAAGTTATTAAGTAAGCTCATTTTCACTCATCTTAGAAAATATTGGTGGGGTTTGTACTGGTCTCATTGTGCACCCTTTCCCACTCCCATGGTTTTCAATGGAAGTGAAGTTAGACTAATGCTGCTGAATGCTTTTGAAAATTCCATCCTAAGTATCCGACTGCACTGGCTAGACAAGAGACATCTCCAGCACGCTGTAGATGATGAGTTATATGCTGTCAGTTTGTAAGAAAATATCCACTTGTCTCTCTCCCACACCTTGCTGTGCAACACAGCGCTCCCGATTGGTTTTCTACCTTTCCTTCTCAGTTTTTACCACTCCATGAAAACGTCGCTAACCCTCCGAACACAGGAGGGAGGAAGTCAGGGGCAGAAGAAAATGCTGGCCAATTGTGTTCAGTGTCAAACAACGTATCATGAAATTAATTTAGATTTACCTTTCATTCACTTTTTTCCCTCC